ACTCCACATTATTAATTAAAAGTCAATATTTGGTATGAATTTTTAAATAAAATCTGGTTTTTTTTTAAAATTAAATAAATATCAAATATTGATTATTTTATGCTAAAATGTTTAGTATAAATAGGTGCAAAATGTTTGCATATAAATTGCTAAGTTTTTCTAAGTTCTTCCAAAGAGAAAAATCATCCAAATAGTTGAGTGATAAAACAAGAAAGAGTTCTTGTAAAATTTCCTTATAAATATATATATATTCTATACTTATTGAAAAACCGAGTAGTTTCTACTAGCGAAGAAACTATAGTCGGAACCAAAGTTCAAAAGGTGGATACGATTTGAGGGAAGACATTTGGATTCCTAAAGTGAGTAACCACAAGAAGTGATCATTACCAAACCGGGAATTGATTTCCTCATACATCGTCGGTTTTGAAGGAGTTCAAGAACAAAGGTAATTTTGAAATTAATTACTACAAATCATAATTTGTATTATTACATGTTTTTAAATGATGACGATTTGTGCATTCGCTATATGTACGTATGGGTTGAGTATTTATGGGATAAATACTTGTTTTTAGAACATAATTTTTTCGCTGCGTATAACCTATACGGTACAGGCGAACCCAACACCAAGAACTAGGTCACGATTTTTCCTTCGGGATCAATATAATGGAGGTTGCTGTGAAGGACTCTGGCATCAGGTGGCCAGAGAAAAAATCCCTCACAGCTTCATCTACGTCAGTACCCTCAATCTCCCAGCAAAACTGGAAGAAGAGGGACGAAAAACCATCCGGTCCAGAGACGCTGTTGGGATCAATGTTAAACACAGCCTCTCTGACTTCGTCCTTACTCGGGAGGTCACAGAGGTCAACGAGGTTGACCGAATGCGGGATGGTCGGAAAGAGGGCCGGGTCGGAGTGCGTAAGCAAATCCCGCTCAGAGGAAAAGAAAGAGTGGAAGTAAGCCCTAGCCGACTCCCGTATCTGGGACTCCTGGATCACAGATGACCCATTATCCTCGACACTATGGATATACGACTTGACTCGGTTCTGCCTCACGAATCCCTGGAAGAACTTGATATTACGCTCTCCCTCAGCCACCTAGCGCACAGTAGCCTTCTGCTTCCAGAAATCTTCCTCCATGAGGAGGCGCAACTGGTACTCAGCAT